GCGCCCCGCAGCGGGCCCCTATCTGGCGTGTGCCCCGCACCATGTCCGCCCAGGTCGCGCCGGTGCCCGCGGAGGCCGCACCCGCGGCGGCGGCCCCCGAGGGCGCCGCGCCTGGCAAGGAGGAGAAGGCACAGGCCCGCGCCGACGCGAACGAGGAGAAGGAGGCATGGATCCACTCGATGCAGGCCGAGTTGTTCTTCGGCGCGTGGATTATCTGGGGGAACAAAAAATGGCATAAACATAAGAACTCGGAGGTCCGCGCGGATTTCTCGGATCGGCGCTGGACCCCCCTCCCTGGCGCGCCGGAGGCGCCGCCGGGGGGCCCCAGCGCCGATTCGAGAAATCCGCGAGGACCTCCGAGTTTTATGTTTATGCCACTGTTTGTTCCCCTAATATCGCGAACGCGGTTTGCTTGGCCATCGAGACAGACCACAAGCCTGACGATGACGAGTTCTACATCGGCTGGTTCTTGATCGATTCCCTCTTCAACCTGGTGTTCCTCATCGAGATGCTGATCCGCATGTTCGTGGAGAGGGGGCAGTGGATCTTCGTCCCGTGGAACGTGTTCGACGCGGTGCTGGTACTAATCGGGATCATCGACGTGTGGATCTTGCCAGCGACAGGAAGCGGCGCGAGCATCCGGTTCCTGACGCTCGTCCGCCTCTTCAAGCTGCTGCGGCTGGGGCGCGTGCTGCGCCTGCTCCGCCTCATGCGCAACACCAAGGAGCTCATCCTGCTGATCTCTGGCATCGCCGGCGCGATGAAGGCCATGATCTGGGGCGTGATTCTGCTTGGCATCATGATCTTCATCAGCGCCCTTCTCGTCACGCGGCTCGTGGGCAAGCGGTGCTGCTTCGGGGACGAGGCCTTCACGGGCGGATTGTTCCACGTCCCCGACGGCCTGGAGGGCGATGACCGCGCGGCGTACTTGGAAGAGGCCGCGGGCCGGCTGCAGGAGTACGAGGACTACTGGGGCACCATGCCGAGGTCGATGTTCACCCTGTTCCAGTTCACCGCGGAGTTCCAGCCCGACATGGTCCGCATGACATGGTACGATGGCGTCGAGGGCTACTTCTTCACCTTCTTCCTCATCGGGTATGCGCTCTTGTCCAACATCGTGGTCCTAAACATCATCGCCAGTATCATCGTCGAGGTGATCATGAGCATATCGGCGAGCGACCGGGAGGAGGAGAAGGCCCACGAGAAGGAGGAGTTGATGAAGGACATAAACGAGAAAGTCGACGGCCTGTTCAATTCCTTAGACATCGATGAGAACAAGAGCCTGAACGTGGAGGAGCTGATGAACAAGAAGAGCGACAATGTGCAGAAGGTCTTCAAGAGTGCCGGGCTGGCGCCCTCCGAGGCCACTCAGCTTTTCCAGATACTCGACAAAGACAAGACCGGCTCCGTCTCGCCCGCCGAGTTCCGGGAGGGCCTCATCCGGCTGAAGCAGCCCTCGGACCCGAAGGACATCCTGCGCATCGAGTACAACTTGGGAGCCGTCGAGACCAAGGTCGACTCGTTCATCGAGACACAAACGAAGGTGGTCGAGACGCTCTCGCGCATCAGCGGCACGAAGGTGGTGTGAGGACGCCAGGCCTGCGGCCTTCGCCGCGCGTGCGGCGGATGCCCCCGCGGGTGAGCGGGCAGGGCGGTCTGTGAGCGACTGCTCACGCACGCCCTCCTGCGGGGATTGGGGCCCTCTGGGACCGCGCAGCGGGGCGCTCCCACTGCACGGCAGCAGAGGGAGAGGGGCCCCAAGGGCCGCCCCCGCTGCGCGCCTGCTTGCTCGCGAGCCTACCACGGGCGCCTTCCAGAACTGAGGGCGCCCATTCCGCTCTGGAGCTCACGCGCAGGTTGGCAAGCGTCCCTTGCCCACTCTGCTCCATCACCGGCTGCCCTTCGTTCTTTGGAGTGTCTGTTTGGCCTGCCCGTGGGCATTTCCTCCCACGGGGCGGCCAACGAATCACGCGCAGAGTTGGAGGCTTGGGGCGTTTTGTTTTCCCGCCCGCTGCTCTTGATGCGTGTGGGGGTACCCCAATGTTTCTAGCCCGCCATGATTTTAACACCAATCAGTTATCACCGTACGGCGCAGGGCGCCTTGGCGGCAGGGGCTCGCTGCCTGTTTGGGCAGCGGCTGCCCCGCGCTCTGGATCCCTGGACATCCCAGGGCCACTCTGTCCTGTTGTTTGAACGATCCTCGATCCCGCCGTGTCACCGCACTGCGACGGATGCCGCACCAGGCTGTACTGCACACGAGGCGCCGCACGGGGGTCGGACAGGAGCGCCAGCAGGGTTTCAATAGGGAGGAGTCCCCCCGGTCCATTACTTGTCCGGTGAGATGTGGTGGGTTGTGTTGCTACTGCGGGCGTGTACTATCAGCCGAGGGTTTTTGCGGCACCGTTCTGGCGCGATCTTTGAAACATGGAGATGATGCGCTCGCATGCCTCGTAACACTACGGATCAAAAACAACCCAGATCCAGCATCAAAGGGGAACCAAGGCGCTACCCATGTCTTATCAAGCACAGGATAGCGTTGGCGTTTCCCGTTTGGCACGCTGCACTCGAAGCTTCCGTGTCCGTTCCTTGGCGCCCCGCTCGCCATGTTGCCCTTGCGTTCCTCCTTCAACGTTTGTTTATATCCGTGTCTTTCGCCTTCCCCTGGTTTTGGTCCGTCCTACTCCTCCTCCTCCTCCTTGTTATCCTCCTTCTCCCTGCTCCTCCTCCTCCTCCTCTTCCTCCTCTTCCTCCTCTTCCATTCCTCTTCCTCCTCCTCCTCCTTCTCTTCCTCCTCCTCCCTCAGAAGTTCACGAGTGCGACGAGCTGTTGCTGTTGACCCCCTAGAGCAGAGTCTAGCGTCCAGAGTCTTTCTCCTTCTCCTCCTCCTCCCCCATCCTCCTCCCTCTCCTCCTCTCCCCCTCTTCGTCCTCCTCCCCCTCCCCTGGAGGTCCCCAGGCGGCCTCCTGGACACCCCCAACAAGTCCCGAACTGTGATGCTCGAGCCTGTGTCCTCCCTCCGTCTCTCCTTGGGGGGGAGGGAGTTGGAGCCCTTGCCTTGGCATCGCTCGGACGTGTGCATTTTTCCTTCGGCGAGGACCATCGAGGAGCATCCTTGATCATTTGGCGAAAGAACCACGCACGAAACCAGAAAACAAACACAGGGAATGGACGTCCGAGCGATGGCCAGTTGCCGCCTCAGGAGGACTCCGTGGAGCAGCTGGTGAGCCTCGTCGACGCGAACCGGGAGGACGCGGGCCGAACGCGCGGCACTCCGTGGCTAATCGCGCCCGTCGCTGGACGATCTGGCGGCTGCCTCTTGCCGCCGGGGCACGGTCTGTGCAGCGCGTCTGGCCTCAGTGGGGTTCCGCGGGGCCTCGGGGGGGCATCCGGGGACCTCCGTGGACCTCTGTGGACTCCAGGAGATCTCCTCCTCCTCCTCCTCCTCCTCCTGCTCCTCCTGCTCCTGCTCCTCCTCCTCCTCCTCCTCCTCTCCTCCTCCTCCTCCCCTCCTCCCCTCCATCCTCCCCTCCTCCTCCTCCTCCTCCTCCTCCTCCTCCTCCTCCTCCTCCTCGTCCTCCTCCTCGTCCTGATCTCCTCATCCTCCTCCTCACTCCTCCTCCCCGCCTCCTCTCCGCCTCCTCCTTCCTCTCCTCCTCCTCCTCCTCCTCTCCTCCTCCTCCTCCTCCTCTCCTCCCCTCGTCTAATCCTCTCCCTTCTCCTCCCTCCTCCTCCTCTCCTCTCCCTCTTCCTCCTCCTCCTCCACCTCCTCCTCCTCCTCCACCTCCGCCTCCGTCTCATCATCATCATCATCATCATCATCATCATCATCATCATCATCATCATCATCATCATCATCATCATCAGCAGCATCAGCATCAGCATCATCATCATCATCATCATCATCACCATCAGCATCATCATCATCATCATCATCATCATCATCATCATATCAAATTTGACGTCCTGCAGTTATCGTGTTCCTCTTCATAGTCGTCCTCTTCGCGTGTAGTGCCTGCAGATGCCTCCTCTTCCAACGGCCCTGCTGCATGGCGAGGGAACCTGCGATATCGAGCTTGCGAGCCCTGGCGAACTCATATCGTGGTATCGTTCGTCTCCTCGTCGTTTGATCATCACGCAGTATTGCGTCATGCACTGCTACAGCGAATACTGGACAGGGAGGCCAGTTGACTCACTCTTCAATCTCAATCCTGCCCTCGCAAGTTGCCCTCACCCTCTCTCCGTTACCCCCTCTTGATCCCAGAATGCATTAAATCCTAATCCCCTTTGTCCTCATAATCGTCATCATACGTATCATCTTGCTCCTCATCATCCCCCTCGCCTTTCTTGAGGAGTAGGGGGATGGGGAACTGTGAGGAGGATTACGAGGGACGAGGGGGAGGGGGAATGGGGGAGGGGAGGGAGGGGGAGAAGGGGGAGGAGGGGGAGGAGGAGGAGGAGGGGAGGAGGAGGAGGAGGAGGAGGAGGAGGGGAGGAGGAGGAAGAGGAGGAGGAGCAGGAGGAGGAGGAGGAGGACTAGGATTCCCTTCCAGCATCATGTCGCTCATCATTAATGCTATCCCTCCCTCCAATCCGCACTCCTCTCCCGCTCCCTCCTCTCCCTCCTCCCCCCTCCTCTCTCTCTACTGCATCTTCTTCCTCCGCCCACAACACTACCCCGCATGGAGGAGGAGGAGGAGGAGGAGGAGGAGGAGGAGGAGGAGGAGGTAGGGTCGGAGAAGGAGGAGTTGGAGCAGGCGGAGGAGGAAGACGAGGAGGGAGCAGGAGGAAGAGGAGGGAGGAGGGAGGAGGAGTGGGAAGGAGGCAGCAGGAGGGAGGAGGCAGCGGGAGGAGGCAGAGAGAGGAGGGCGAGGCCGACCGAGGAGGGGGGAGGCGCGCAGACGAGGAGCGTCGCCGCGGCCAGCCGGGCCCAGGGCCGCCAACGCGAGTTTGCCCCGGCCCTGGCCTCGTCTCACGCCACCCTCGCGCATGCCCGCGTGAGGGCCGGCGGCCTCCCCCCCCACCCCCCCCCGCGGGCGCATGGCAGGCCCGAGGGCCGCCCTCGTCCGGGGCGCGTTCTGGGCGCTCTGCTGCGGGTTCCCGACCGCCGGCCTCGTCGTCGGTGCCGTCGTCTGCCTAGTCCTCGGCCTCGGCATCGGCATCGTGCCTCCTCATCCTCCTCCTCCTCCCCCTCCTCCTCCCCCTCCTCCCCCTCCTCCTCCTCCTCCTCCTCCTCCTCCTCCTCCTCCTCCTCCTCCTCCTCCTCGTCCTCCCCCTCCTCCTCCTCCTCTTCCTCCTCTCCTCCTCCTCCTCCTCCTCCTCCTCCTCCTCCTCCTCCTCCTCCTCCTCCTCCTCTCCCCCTCCCCCTCCTCCCTCCTCCCTCCCCCCTCCTCCTCCTCCTCCTCCTCCTCCTCCTCTTCTCCTCCTCCTCCTCCTCCTCCTCCACCTCCTCCTCCCCCCCTCCTCCTACTTCCCCTCCTCCTCCTTCCACAATTACACAGTATGAATACTACCTTCCTCTCTCCCCTGATGACGTCCGGAAGATATCCGGCCCCTTCCCGCGCATTGTTTTTTTTTTTAAACACAGGATTTCTGGGAGATTTGTGTTCGTTGGGCTTGTGTTCAACATGCTGTTCCCGCTGAAGCGCTGGCCTCGTTTTCGGGCTTCCGCTCGTTCCGGATCGTACTCCCGCTGCAGCGCTGGCCTTCCGAATTAGCCCCAATATCTTGAAAATGGTTCCCCTAAAAAACCATCGGAAGGGATTCCACACTCGGTGTCGATTCGTTGATTTACTGGGCCGCAGAAGCCCTTCCCAAGTTTGGGGCGTCGTCGTTTGAGCCCCCTTTCTGCTGTGAGAAGGCGACGTTGAAAGCAGAGCCAGCGGAAGCCCTCCATCAGCCCCGCCTTGCGTGGAGCTTCTCGGGAAGCCCAAAAAGCCAGACATGGAGACCCGATTCCAGACCGTCCCGGACCTCTCGGAGACGATCCACTGACCCTCCAACGAACCCGGCGCCATGCCATGACATGTTGTGCGGTGCTGTGTTCTGCGCCGCTGTGCGATGTCATGCTTTGTGTTGGAGTGGTTTGCTGTGCAACGCCTCACTGCGCGATGACACGCCATGCTACGGCAAGCTACGCTCTACCGTGCTCTCTTGCGACGGGCCATGTCGTGCTCTACCATGCATCGCGTACCCTCTCGCGATCATTGCCCTGCTCGACATCCGACTGAGCGAATATAGAGAGGATATATACGCCATGGTAAGGGATGGGAGGGAAGGGTGGGACGTCATATATGACGCAAGCACACCTAGCTTGCCTCCTCCCCTTCCTCCTCCTCCTCCTCCTCATCATCATCCTCCTCCTCCTCCTCCTTCCTCCTCCTCCTCCTCCTCCTCCTCCTCCTCTCCTCCTCCCTCCTCTCCTTCCCCCTCCTCCTCTCCCTCCATCATCATCATATCATCAGCAGCATCATCGTCTTCATCTTCGTATTCATCTTCATCAGCATCATCATCATCCACCTCCTCCCCTCCCTCCCCATCCTTCCTCCCTCCTCCTCCTCCTCTGCCTCCCCCTCCTCCTCCTCCTCCCCCCCTCCTCTTCCGTGTGGGAATCTGTCCCAAACCCCACCCCGCCCAGTCGGTTTGCGGATGGCCCTCTCTCGGTTCGCGGGAGGGTACTGCGGCCGCAACCACCTGCGGGCATACGGCCACCGAATCTGGCCCCAGGCCGTTGTCATAATGAGGCGTCTCTCGAAAGGTCGGCCAAGCAAAGAGGGGGGGCAGGGGCAGCGGGGGAATACTTCTTCTTCTCGTCTACAGATGCACGGCTGGCGCCTTCTAAGAGGCGGCCTCCTTCTGAGAAGCCTTCCCCCCTCCCCCTGCCCCCCTTTGTGCGCGCCGCCAAAGAGGGGACTCTGTCCACCCCAGGCGGGTCCGAGAGCCGCCCTCGCCTCGGGCATCGCCCTGCACCGCTGCGGGAGGCCCTGTCGTATCGTGCAAAGCCGCGGGGGGGACCAGTGCAACCTGGACACGAGGACTAGATTCGGCCTGGATATGGAACGATTCTGGTTTGGATCCAAAATCCAGAATCCAAAATCCAAAATCGTCCAAAATCCATAAAATCGTCCAAAATCTGCTCTTGTCTCATCCAAAATCGTGCTGCTCATATTCTCCCTGGTGCGCGCGCCGCGTGCCGGCTTCCTGCCCAGCATTCGCTCGTGGATGACCAGGTCGGCCTGGATATGGCACGATTCTGGTCTGGATCCGCCTCCTCCGCTCTCATCCCGGGCCGGACGCAAGGGGGGGATTGGGAAAGGGGGGGCTACGAAATTTGCGGCATGCAGCTGATTGCGGCTTCGCCGAGGGGCCCATTCCTCGCTGCATGGACGCCTCCGGCGCCGGGAGGCGCCGGGAAAATCAGCGACGTGAGCTGATTCTCAACCCCCCCTTTGCTATCCCCCCCTTTGGCCCGACCCGATCATCCAAGATCGTGCTGCTCATATGTTTCCTGGTGTCTGTCTCCTCCTCCTCCTCCTCCTCCTCCTCCTCCTCATTAGACTCCTCCTCCTCCTCCTCCTCCTCCTCGTCCTCCTCCTCCTCCTCCTCCTCCTCCTCCTCCTCCTCCTCCTCCTCCTCCTCTGCTCTCCTCCAAGATCGTGCTGCTCCTATGTTTTTCCTGGTGCGCGCGCCGCGTGCCGGTCTCCTGCCCAGCATTCGCTCGCGCTCGCTGGCTCGACGCTCGCGCGCCTCGGGGGCCTCCGCCGGCGGCCTGGCACGGGCACACTGCCTCGTCATGGCCTGTCGGGGGGGGGGCGCCCAGGCCTGCTGCAACCAGGAGGGGAAAAAACACACAAACACAAGCAATCGTCGATTCCTTTCAAAATATTGGAAAATATGGGAAGTGGAGGGGAAGACAGAAACCCAGAAAATATTGGAAAATATAGGCCATCCTGTTATTTGCGTGTGTGTGTGTGTGTATTAATTTGTGTGTCCCAGGGCCCCTTCATGCAGCGTGCTCGCCACCGCCGAGAGCTGCTGCCAGGAGTCCCTGCTCCGCGGTGGTTACCAGGCATCCCCAAGGATGAACCCCACGCTCGACCGCCTCCAGGGGGCCCTCGATGCGCTGGTGCCCCCCGCGGTTGTGGACGAGCTCCGCCACAGCCTACCAGTCTGTCACCCTTGCGCAGGCCGACCTCGCCAGGTTCACCCAGCTGGCGGGCCCGCGCGAGTCGTCGGAGATGGTGGAGTTCATCGGCCAGTTGCTCGGGCGGCTCGACGGGCTGACCGACGAGTTCGAGGTTTACGAGGTAGAAACAGTTTGGGGCGCGTGCGTCGCCGGCCAGGCGAGGGGCTTCCATTCACAGCGAGGAATTATCCTGTGGCGGTCGTGCGCTTCGCCATCAAACTGATCGAAGAAACGGCGAGACGGTCCCAGGGCTCTGCACTGAACGTTGTGGATGCCGTGCGGGTGTCCATACGTCTGCTTGCGTTGGCGGGATTGTCGGCACCAACATGCAGCGTTACCATGTGGTCGGCTAGCTGATGGCATGCCTGGACCTTCTCGAGGCGACATCGCACGTGGGTAAGGTCTACGTGAGCAGGGACTGAAAGGCCGCCGTGGACGTAGAGCTGGCCAGAGGTAGCACGGTGGTTCCACCTTTTCGGGTGCAGGTTCGATCAGGGTCATCCCTAATGACGCCGAGGGGCAAGGCTCACGAATACGCCGATGCGGTTGGGAACCCCACGTATTTCGTTATACATTGACCTGTAGGAATGTAGTGGCAAGCGATGTCATGAAGGCATATTAACGATCTCTTCCGACGTACGGTCGCGCCTCTCAACATTGGCGCAATGACGTGTGAAGGCTCGAGATCAAGTTCCTTCTACTCTTCGGAAGTGCACAAAGAGGTTGGCGGGTCTCTCGTGTAGCCTCAGGCTCAGCTCAATGCAGGGCAGAGCGATCTCGAGGTGAGGTTGCTTCAAGCATCAGGTGAAGCCACCACCTCGATCATTAGAATGATGTCCAGGGTAAAGCTATAGAGAACGTGTTGAGGCGAAGCGGCTTGGAACTTCCCGTTGGGGTCTCGCTGGGTGCGGCCTCGATCCCGCCACCCTGGCCCCAAAAGGCGACATGGTGCCAGCGCGTGGACCGCAAACAGTTGGCTCGCGCGGCAATTTGTGTATGTGGGGGGCCTTTAGGGTCGCGACCGATGAGGTGCTCGTGTTGGCCCTGGTGCGCCTCTTCGCTTTGCTCGCGCGGGCCCTGCCGTCACTCTCCGCGCGCCTGCTTCTTACCGTTCTCGTCCGCCCGTGTCTGGCGAGACTGCCCGCGCCTGCCTGCTCTGCGCGCTCCCCGGCCGCGGCTGGTTAGTTCTGCCGCGCCGTGTCGCGAGCGGCGACGCCGCTTCTGCTCCCCCCTCCCCCCGCCTCCGCGTCTCCTGCCACCAGTCGCTGGCCAGGCGCCGTCTCACTGCGGTGATTCGCCTTGCGGACGGACGGGGCGATCGTCGTCGCCTGGCGGTGGAGACGAAGGGTCGCGACCGATGAGCAGGTCGGCTCTGCAAAGTCCAGCTTGCCCTCACGTGCTTTCAGCCCCTGGACGTTTGCACAGCGTGTCCTGGGGCTTGGGCGACCCCTCCTTCTCCTCCTCCTCCTCCTCCTCCTCCTCCTCCTCCTCCTCCCTCCTCCTCCTCCTCCTCCTCCTCCTCCTCCTCCTCCTCCTTCTCCTCCATCAACTCCTCTCCCTCCCCATCCTCCTCCTCCTCCTCCAGCTTCGTGCCGGCGCTGCCCCGTGGAGGCTGTTGCGCCTTCTCGGATGGCCTCTGCTTTCGGTCGCCACTGCGCTTGCGGCACCCTGCGTGTGTATGGAGCCCCGTGCGTGGAGCTTGGGCTCGTGGAGCCATACGACTGCGAAAGCCTCCCCGCATGCGTGCGGAACCCCATGCGTGGAAGCCTCTGTATGTGTGTATAAACCCCCTATGGGTATAAGCCCAACGCTTCCTCTCCCGGGGCTGGTCAGGAGTGGGCATGAGGTGCGTTTTTTTGCGCGGGGCGCTTCATTCCGCCGCGTCGTTGCGCGCTCGGCCGCGACGCCAGAAAGAGTAAGTGCGCATGTACATGTGTGTGTGTGTGTGTGTGTTTGTGATTGTGATTGTGTTTGTGTGTGTTTGTGTGTGTGCTTGTGTTTGTGTGTAGTTGTGTTTGTGTTCGTGATTGTGATTGTGGTTATGGTTTTGTGTGTTTGTGGTTGTGGTTGTGGTTGTTATTGTGTTTGGTGTTGTGTTTGTGTTTGTGTACGTGTTTGCGTTTGTGAGTGTGTTTGTGATTGTGGTTGTGCTTGTGCTTGTGCTTGTGCTTGTGTTTGTGTTTGTGATCGTGTGTGTGCTTGTGCTTGTGCTTGTGCTTGTGTTTTTATGCTTGTGTGCGGAATCCAATTTGGGACTGCATGCGTGGAGCCACGTGTGCGCGTGATAAGCCGCATGCGTGGAAACCTAGGTGTGCAACCCCGTGTGCGTAGAATATTCCCCTATGCGGAGGCCTATGGGTGTGTGTGTGTGTGCGTGTGTGTGTGAGTATGTACGTGTCTGAACGTGTATGTGTGTGTGCGTGCGTGCGTGTGTGTGTGTGTGTGTGTCTGTGTCTGTGTCTGCATCTGCATCTGTGTGTGTGCGTGCTTGCGTGCGTGCGTGCGTGCGCGCTTGTGTGTGTGCTTGCGTACGTGCGTGCGTGCGTGCGTGTGTGTGTGTGTGTGTCTGCGTGTTGGTCTGTGTGTGCGTGTGTGTGTGTGTGTTTGTGTGTATGTGTGTGTGTCTGTATGTGTGTCTGTGTCTGTGTCTGTGTCTGCGCACGTTGGTGTGTGTATGGGTGTGCTTGTGTCTGTGTCTGTGTCTGCATCTGCATCTGCATCTGTGTGAGCGTGCTTGCGTGCGTGCGTGTGTGCTTGAGTGTGCGTTGGCGTGTGCGTGTGTGTATGCGTATGCAAGTGTGTGTATGTGTGTGTGTGTTTGTGCGTATGTGTGTGGGTGTGGTTGTGCGTGTGCGTGCGCGTGTTCGTGTGCGGGACGTTTGCGTGTGCGTGTTTGTGTGCTTGCGCGCGTGCGTGTGCGTGTGAGTTTGCGTGTGCGCGTACGTGTGCGTGCTCGTTTGCGTGTGGGTGTAGGTGTGGGTGTAGGTGTAGTTGTGGGTATGGGTGTGGGTGTGGGTATGGTTGTGTCTGTGTGTGTGTTTATGTTTGTGTTCGCGTGTGTGCTTATTTTGTGGTGTGTGCATACACATGTGTGTTGTGTGTGCTTGTGTTGGTGTGTTGGTATGTACTTGTATTTGGTTGTGTGTTAATGTTTGTGCGTGTTTGTATGTGGTTGTGTGTTTGTATGCGTGTTTGTGTGAGCGTGTGCTTTCTTTGAGTTCGTGTGAGGGCTTGTGTGTGTTGTATGTGTGTGTTGTGTCTGTGGGTGTTGTGTGTGAAATTGTGTTTGTGTGTGTGTCTGTTTGTGTGATACCCTGGCTGTGTGAGGCCCCAGCTGGCGACAGCTTAGAGCGGCAGCTGCAGCCACGGGATCCGAAGCGGAGGCAGCGAAGCGCGGCAGACGCGACCGCAGGACTCCGAGCGGGGACCGGAGGGCTGCGACGGCCGCACGGCCAGGCCCCGACGGGAGCGAGCAGAGAGAGCCCCTCGGTGCGAGATCTGCCTGGCGTGGCAGCGTGGCAGCCCCGCCCCCGGCACGGAGGATTGCCCGGGCGGCCCCGCTCCTCCTCCTCCTCCTCCTCCTCCTCCTCCTCCTCCTCTTCCTCCTTCTCCTCCTCCTCCTCCTCCTCCTCCTCCTCCTCCTGGGGGCGCTCGCAGCCGCGGCGCGCCGCGCCTGCCGAGGGGGCCGCGGCTGCAGAGGCCACGCGAGCTTTCAGCTCGGGAGGCCGTGCGCTCTCTTCGGGCCCAGACGCCAAGTCTTATAATGCGACACACGCCCAACGCCATTGTCTGGCCTCCATGGCCTCGTTCCTCCTCCTCGTCCTCCTTCTCCTCGTCCTCCTTCTCCTTCACGTCCTCCTCCTGCTCGACCGTGTCCTCCTTCCTCTTCACGTGCTCCTCCTCTTCCTCCTCCTCCTCCTCCTTTTCCTCCTCCTACTTCTTCTCCTCCTACTCCTTTGTCTCTGTCTGTTTCGTCATCCTCCTCTTGCGCTTCTTAGCTGGCATGTCCTACAGACTTGGCGAGCCAATTCCGGTGCAAGCACGGATGGGGTGACGTCTAGTCGGTTTGGGGCATGATCTTGATGACTCAGTATGTAGCCTACCAGTGCCGCTTGCCTGGTTCACCACGGGCGATCAGCAATTGAAGGGCTGCTGGTGGGAAAGAGCCGACCCCACCAGAGGACCCCCAGAGGTCTTGTCCTATTCCCAATGGCAGGCATTTCATCCTCAGCCGTTTCTTGACGGCCCCACGGGCCCCGCGAAGGCCGCCAGAGGCCGAGAACAGCGAACAAATTCGGCCGTGATGAGTCACGCCTCGGGCGGGGTGCGGGGGGGGTTGGCCACGAGGCAGCCGACGCCCTACAGTGGGGGCCCATGCCAAGAAACGCCATGCTTGCCTCCAGGGTGCCATGGGCTCCTTGGCTTCGACGGTTTTGCGATGGACAGCGTGACGCTCCCACACCAAACGTCAGGGGACGACCTGGGGTCTCGGGGTTGGGTTTCCCGTGGAAGGTTCCTTGTGGTCGGGCCTCCACTGTAACTCTGAGCCATCGGCGATTACAATGGGTGCGGTTTGCGAAAGGTGCGTTTTGCCTCCCGTCATATCTGCCCCTCCCGCCCCCAGGAAACGGATGACACTGTCACCCAATGCGACCGAATCACATGACACTGTCGCTCCTTCTAGTACAGTGGAGCACACATCGAGGATGACAGTGTCGCTCGAAAGCGACGACGGTTATGACACTGCCTCTCCACAAGGGCCCCGGACATGCCGCCACAAAGCAACTCGCAAACCGCACCCTGGCGTAACCGCACCGATTGTAGTCGCCGGCGGGGAGCTTCTGAGGCCGCGTGGCCCCGAGGAGCCGCCCCCCGCCCGCCCGCCGGCCCTCGGGATGTCTGCCTCGTCGGGCCGCTCCTCTCGGCGCCGGCGCGCGCTCCCGAGCGTGGCGCCCTGGGCCGCCTCTGGCCTCCCCCTGGGGGGGGGGGCGCGGAGTCGCCGGTGAGGCGGCAAGGGCGGCATCGCAGGCGAGGAGGAGCGAGGAGGGGGGCGGAAGAGGGCGAGGCGAGGGAGGGCGCGGCGGAGGCGAGCGGGCGGAAGGAGAGCCAGGAGGAGGAGGAGGAGGAGGAGGAGGGGGAGGTGAGGGGGGGGAACGGGTGGGGAAGGGGAGGGGAGGGGGACGGAAGGGAGGTTGAGGGGGGGGCAGGGAGAGTTGAAGGGGAGGGGAGGGAGGAGCATGGGGAGGACGAGGATGATGAGAGACGTAGAGGATGATGATCAGGAGGAGGAGGAGGCGAGGGACAAGACAAGGCGGAGGAGGAGATGGAGAAGGAGGATACCTCCCTCCTCCTCATCATCATCCTCCTTTCTATTCCTCCTCCGCCTCTTCATCCGCCTCCTCTTCCTCCTCCTCCTCTTCCTCTTCTTCCTCCTCCACCTCCTCCTCCTCTTCCTCTTCCTCCTCCTCCTCCTACACCTCCTATTCCTCCTAACCTCCCTCCCTTCCTTCTCCTGGCCCCGCGCTGCCAAAGCACAATAGCTCCGCGCTGCAGACTCTCCCCCTCCGCAGGCTCGCCGGGCCGGCGAGCGGGGCGAATTTCCTCGAGGCCGGGAGGGTGGACGAGCAGGACGTTTGCTGTGGCCATGGCGGCCTGCGGGGGCTTTCGGCTTTCTTCGACGACCTGGCCGTGCGCGTTGTTTCTTAGAAGGGGGCTGCTTCTCAAAAGGCGCGGGTCCCATCTATGAATGCAAGGCCCGCGCCTTCTAAGACGCAGCCTCCTGCTAAGAAGCCTCCCCCCCTTTCTCTTACCCCCCTCTGCCCGTGGCCAAACATCTGCGGGGAGAGTGTGGCGTCGCGCCGGGCTCCGCGTCTCGCAGGGGGGGGGGGGCCTGCCACCACAGCTGGGCTGCGGCCTGCCCCCGGGAGCTTCTCACGGAAACGGACTGGCTCGGGGGTCCTCCACCAGTACAGAGATGCTTCGATCAGATCTACTCACATACTTTCACTTGTACACCAAATTCTTTTTTTTGTTTGTTTCCGCGTCTGCTCTACATAACCTTCCGCAGCCTAAAAAAATTAGCCTGGCGAAGGACCCAACCATATGCAGCTGCGAGTACCGCACGGATATGAGACGAAGGAGGGGGCACGCAAACTAGGCCCCTCTTCTCATAGGCACCGCGCCACTGGGGCCTTCGGTGGAGCTCCCTATGGGGCCACGAAAGCGTGTGAGGGGTGTGCCGAAATGGGTGGTGGGGAGGCATGCGGACCCTGCCACTGGGGCCTTCGGTGGAGCTCCCTATGGGGCCACGAAACGTGTGAGGGGTGTGCCGAAATGGGTGGTGGGGAGGCATGCGAACGCAGCCACTGGGGCCTTCGGTGGAGCTCCCTATGGGGCCACGAAACGTGTGAGGGGTGTGCCGAAATGGGTGGTGGGGAGCCACTGGGGCCTTCGGTGGAGCTCCCTATGGGGCCACGAAACGTATGAGGGGTGTGCCGAAATGGGTGGTGGGGACGCATGCGAACGCAACCACTGGGGCCCCTTCGGTGGAGCTCCCTATGGGGCCACGAAACGTGTGAGGGGTGGGCCGAAATGGGCGAGGGGCGGCATGCCAACTCTGCCACTGGGGCCTTCGGTGGAGCTCATTATGGGGCCACGAAACGTGTCAAGGGTGTGTCGACATGGGTGGCGCGGACGCATGCGAACCCTGCCACTGGGGCCGTCGGTGGAACTCCCAATGGGGCCACGAAACGTGTGAGGGGTGTGCAAAAGTGGGTGGGGGCGGCATGCGAACCCTGCCACGGGGGCCTTCGGTAGAGCACCCTATGGGGCCACGAAATGCGTGAGGGGTGTGCCAAAGTGGGGTGGGGGCGGCATGCGAACCCTGCCACTGGGGCCGTCGGTGGAGCTCCCTATGGGGCCACGAAACGTGTGAGGGGTGTGCCAAAGTGAGATGGGGGCGGCATGCGAACCCTGCCACTGGGGCCTTGGGCCACGAAACGTGTGAGGGGTGTGCCATGGGGGCGGCATGCGAACCCTGCCACTGGGGCCTTCGGTGGAGCTCCCTATGAGGCCACGAAACGTGTGAGGGGTGTGCCAAAGTGGGGCGGGGGCGGCATGCGAACCCTGCCACTGGGGCCTTCGGTGGAGCTACCTATGGGGCCACGAAACGTGTGAGGGGTGTGCCAAATGAGGTGGGGGCGGCATGCGAACCCTGCCACTGGGGCCTTCGGTGGAGCTACCTATGGGGCCACGAAATGCGTGAGGGGTGTGCCAAAGTGGGGTGGGGGCGGCATGCGACCCTGCCACTGGGGCCGTCGGTGGAGCTCCCTGTGGGGCCACGAAACGTGTGAGGGGTGTGCCAAAGTGAGGTGGGGGCGGCATGCGAACCCTGCCACTGGGGCCTTCGGTGGAGCTACCTATGGGGCCACGAAACGTGTGAGGGGTGTGCCAAAGTGGGGTGGGGGCGGCATGCGAACCCTGCCACTGGGGCCTTCGGTGGAGCTCCTTATGGGGCCACGAAACGTGTGAGGGGTGTGCGGAAATGGGAACTAATGGCGATGGCGATGATGATGATAATGATGATGATGATGATGATGATGATGATGATGATGATGACGACGATGATGATGTTGGTGGTGATGACGATGATGATGCTGGTGGTGATGATGACAGGATGGTTGGGAACTAATGGCGATGGAGATGATGATGACGATGATGATGCTGGTGGTGATGATGACGAGGATGATGATGATGATGATGATGATGATGATGATGATGATGATGATGATGATGATGATGACGATGAGGATGATGATGCTGATGATGGTGATGATGATGATGATGATGATGATGATGACGATGAGTATGATGACGGCGATGGGAGGAGGGAGGAGGGGGGAGAGGAGGAGGAGGAGAGGAGAGGAGAGGAGACGCGGGGCGCTGTCTCTTCAAAGCGAGGACCCAACACCACAGGATGGTTGGGAAATACAAAAAAAACATACACCACTTTCCGGGGTATCGTACAAGTGATCACGTGACGGATTCATCCTGCGGTGCCTCCGTGATGTGATCTGAGAGATGGGGGCCTCCCCAGCAGCTGTGCCAAGGCGTTTGTAAGATGCGGTTGGTGTGCTACCGTTAGCTCTCACGCTTTCGCTATGTATGTATATATATATATATATCTATATATATATCCCCTCTCTCTCTATGTATATAAATAATTATGGTTTCAAATATCGTTCCTCATAGTTACATACATGCATGTGGTATTATATATGTGCATACGCACAGAAATTCAAAACATTGGTTATGTATGCATGTATGCATGTGAATGTGTGTATAAGCATCTCTCTCTGTTTCGTTATCTCTCCATTGTGCTCCAAACGAACCTGCCGATTGGAAGGGCGCGCGCTTTGCACGGTTGCATTTCCACGTATCCTCTCATTTGCACCCGCTGTCTTTTCCCACCGCCTCCCTGCCCCGTCGTACGCCTCCTTCCCTCGTACTACTCATTGTGGTTGTGTTATTCTTCCAGTTGCTCCTTCCCTTCCCTACCTAGTCCCGGCTCTGTCGCTTGTTCCTCTTCCACCCTGCAGTCTCATCATGCCCTTCCGCTCATTCTATGTATATTTCTTCATGTCCTTCATTACTCCTCCTTTTCATCTCCCTCTCCTCCACACCTGTTCCTGCCTCTTCCCCCCTCCGTCCAGCTCTTCCAGCTTCCCGATACTTATCATTCTGCTCCTCCCTCTCCTCCATACCCCTTTCCGCTTCTCACCCTCACCGTCGTCCCACACGTATCCCCCTCATCGTCGTACCTTGCCGTTGCGAACAGGACGCGGCGAAGGCCTTCGAGGAGGAGCGGGGGGACGCCAATCCTCCACACACACACACACACACACACAGAGAGACATACGCACACACACACACACACACACACCTTTACCAGGCACCAGATCCCCTCCCCCCCACACACGTCATCCTCCTCCTCCTCTTTCCCCCGATCACACGCAAACACACTTTTCCTCCGCTGGCGATGTTATACCACAGTCGTCGCGGGACAATGATGTACAGGGCGCGTCAACAGGAGTTGCACCCAGCGAAGTGAATGTAGTAGCAGAGACAAGACAGGCAGCGGACAGACCACAACAAGCCCGCGTGTAAGGCGGAATGTCAAGACCCGCCAGATGGAACCGAAGTGCAGCCAGGCGACGTGCAACCAGGGTCGTGCGGGCGGAAAGGGCAAACAACTCCGCGCAGGCAAGCCACACACACACACACACCGACCCCGACCAGGCCCAACTTCCTCCCTCCCAC